ATGTTATCGATAAGACTTCCCCATGCTCTCGTCACAAGGCACCACTGTTTTAATCAGTCTAATCAGTCAATTCAGTCATTCCCTCAGCCCCTCGCCCGCTTATCCGTTTATACGCTAGGTCCAACCAACCATCACTCCAACCACCGCTACGAGACCGCTAGCAGCAACTGGATACAGTTACAAGGTCAGTGACCGGGGCTTGCCGGGTGACTTGGCTAGGTAGTCTCTAACTCGTCGCTAACTCGGACAGCTTACAACTTCCAAGCTTGAGAAGATACCAGTTTCAACTTCATCATTTTTGAAATACTAGCTTCATACCATCTTTTCCATCTCATTAATTTTTCTCGTCTTCAACTTCTTTCTTGGGTGAATGGTGGCGCTTCCAACATCCGAAAGCGTAGTGCTGGTCTACAAAGTCCATCCCAGCCGTCATCACCCATCAACCAACATAATCATTGCCTCCCCGTTCCTGGCTTCTTTCCCCTCGTCCATCTAAGCCGTCTTTACTTGGTCGTGACCAATTTACAATAATACCCCAACAATCCTAGCGTAGAGTTATATTTTATATTATTCCCTTTTCTTTTCAATTGTGGTATTGGATTCGCTCTATCTTGTACTAGAGCAGGATAAAGGCTATCCTTATCGAAGTATCTTGGTCGTATTTTTGGACTCGTTGAGACCACCGCAACGAGCTCTTACCTACAACACCACCATTTCTCAACATGGGGTCCACGGTTGATATCGGTAGACGCATTGTGCAATTGTTCTGGGATCCTGAACCGACTAATGATATTATCCGAGACCGGCCGGTTTGGTGTCTTGGATCCTCTTACAGGCTCAACAACAGCAACAATAACAGCAGCAACAGCAGCAACGGCGCCAGCAGCACTAGTAACAATAGTACTAGCCCGCAGCAAGATACACCTTCGACTTCCGAACCACCAGCCAAGGATGCCATCCAAGCTCCTTCTAGACTCCCCGAGACCCCTCCCGATTCTACCTCCAGCAGCTTAGACTCATCCCTCGCCTACGACGAAGCACCTCTAGATGGAGGTTGGCCTCCCGCATTCCTCGACGATTTCGAATCCAGAATATGGATGACCTATAGGTCCGAGTTCGACCCCATAGCCAAGTCGCAAGACCCCAAGGCTTTCTCCGCCCTATCTTTCTCGATGCGCCTCAAGAGTCAGTTAGGCGACCAGACCGGATTCGCCTCGGATAGTGGATGGGGGTGTATGATCAGATCCGGCCAGAGCCTGTTGGCCAACGCTATGCTAGTACACCGTCTTGGTCGAGGTATGCGAGCTTATTAGAAACGACACCGAGTCTTTGTACGCTGTTGCTAAGTCATGTATAGGATGGCGAAGGAGTACGCCGAGTCAGGAAGAGAATAAGATCCTATCCTTGTTCGCCGATGACCCTCGAGCACCATACTCGATACATAACTTTGTACGTCACGGCGCTTCCGCATGTGGGAAATATCCTGGCGAATGGTTCGGTCCTTCAGCGACCGCGAGGTGTATCCAGTGAGTATTCTGCAAAGATCCAGTTGTGTTAGAACTACGATAACTAAATACTAGCCAGAGCCTTGACAAATACCACCGAACCGGCGTTACGCGTCTATTCTACGGGGGATGGGCCGGATGTCTACGAGGACAACTTCATGAAGATCGCCAAACCTGATGGCACAACTTTTCATCCGACAGTGATATTAGTGGGCACACGTCTGGGCATTGACAAGATTACGCCTGTATATTGGGAAGCTCTTACAGCGTCCTTACAGATGCCGCAGTCAATTGGCATTGCTGGGTAAGTTGTCTTATGTTTCATAAGCTTTTTTATGTCTAAAGGGTCCGCTTCTAACCGATGGCAGTGGACGTCCGTCGTCATCGCATTATTTCATCGGCGTCCAGGGCCTCCACTTCTTCTATCTGGATCCGCATTTCACACGACCGGCCTTACCCTATCATGAAGACCCCGACGAGTATACCCAGGAAGAAATTGATACCTGCCACACGAGAAAGCTACGACGACTGCACGTCAAGGAAATGGATCCAAGCATGCTCATCGGCTTTCTAATCCGCGATGAAGAAGACTGGAAGGACTGGCGGAGAAGTGTCAAACACGTCCAGGGTAAAGCCATCATTCACGTGTCGGACCACGACCCGATCGCACAGATGGAGGCAGCCGGGGGTGCTATAATGGATGATGTTAAAACTCTGAGCGACGAAGATGAGGATGACGACACGGCGCTGGTGGAATAAACGAATATCAGGCGCAATATGTTATCGGGTTGGCTAGGAGAATACCACTAGGTAATTGTCAGGCGTTAAGGTGTGGATTATGGAGGATTATGAATAACCATTGGCGGTGTAAATATCTCGAGCACCTACAGCAGTGATTTGGCAAGTCATGGTAGCTAACTACCGAAGTAGCTGCCTTCTTCTTTTTTTTACTTTGGCGGACAGGCAGGGAGGCAATAGGAATCATGCCAATAACGCCTCTATTCAAGGGTCATGAGACAAGGGACATTAGTAGGACGAGTCGGTTTAGGGCTAGGTAAACGCTTAGTTGCTGCGGGTGGTCTGATTGGTAGACACAACCTTCTAGAACGCCTTCGTAGTAAAACATCTACCGTCGCTTTTTGCTGGGCTTGGCCGCAACTGTCTTGGGTGCCGCGTGACCTGTATCCTTCAAGTGCTTGAAGAGCTTGGTCCTGGAATCGAATTGGGTGTTACAGGCCACGCATTTCTGGTATGGAAGTTAGAACAAAACAGTTGACTTGTTAATATGTGGTAGGTAAGGGGTAATAAGGGTAGCAAACTTACAGCATCGTCCTGTTGCTCCGAAGTAGCTTGGCGCGCAGCCTTCTTTTCTCGTTTAGCTTTGGCCTTGCCTACCTTCTTGGTGGGTTCGCTGCTTCGGAGCGATATATCTTCTGTTTCTTTTGTGATGTCGTCGACTGGGTCTTCTTCGTTGCCTTGTAAGGGGTTTGGAGCGGCCGAGTTTCCTGATACGAGGCGTGCTTCTACCGCGTCTCTCGAGGCATAGTCGTCGTCCTCGCTCTCGTTTTCTGAGTCTACTCTTGAGCTCGTGGGCTCGGTACTGGTTTTAGATGGTGCTTCCGCCTGCTCTTCTATATGGGGCGCATCAGCGGTGTTACTCCCGTGAGCGTCTGTATCTCCGTCTACGTGATCGCTGTCTACTACCGGAATTTCCGAATTTGATGTGGGGGTCGTAAGGTCTAGATTTAGATTTAGATTCGCGTTCTCCTTTTTCATCTGCCGTTGTAATTGCTGTACGGCCTTCACGTGCTTTTTGCTCTTCTCGTGGGCTTCGTACTGTTTCTCGCTCTTGAATCTCTTGTTGCACACCACACATTCTATGTGTTCGACTTCGGATTCCTCGTCGGTCTCGGAGAAGTTTCCCTCGTGTAATTCATCGTCCCGAGATTGTGCCCATTCGGGAACGGCAAACGGGTCGTTCATTTTCTCCTGGTTTGCAGCCCTCGACCTAGCGGCTTGCGCTGCGGCTGAGTCCCGTAGTATCTTCTGCCTATCGGCTTCGGATTGCGTATTCGCTACGTAGCGGGGGTCTCGTTTGCGAACGAAAGCAACTAGAGACCGCACTGCATCGTTGAACTCGCGAGCAGCGTCCTCCCTGAATTTTTTGTTCTCCTTCTCCATGAGACGTCGAACTCTCCGGTCTGGAGCATCGGAGAGTCGCCATTTATTCTTCCAGGTAAAGCTTAGCTTGGTGGAAAAGTTGGACCACCTGCCATAGAATGCCTTGGCTACGCTATCGCCGTCTTTAGACTCGCCGAAGGAAGGGTACTCGACGGGAGTTAATCCATCCCAGTCGGCGGCTGCATCTTCTGCCTGGGCTATTCTATCGAAAGTCTCTCGCAAGACACTAAAAAAACTGTCCGGAGAGTCGTCGAGGGGGACGTTCTTGTTGAAACGGCCAATCAAGGTAAAAATCTCGTCGGTGGTAGTTATGCGAACGTTGTGGTATTCGGGACTCGCTTCGGTCTCGCCCGGGTCATCTCCGCGAAGGATGGCATCGCGATGAGAGTCGTACCACGCTCGCTCTTGGGGATCAGATAGAACTTCGTAGGCGGCTTGAACCTCGGCGAATTTTTGCGTAGCGTTCTCGACATCGCCATAATTCCTGTCAGGGTGTAGCTCTAGAGCCTTTCTTCTGTATGCCTTCTTGATTCTAACAATCAAATATGATATTAGTAATATGTATGTATATTGGTAGTTATCTGCTCACTCCTCGTCACTAGCTTGGTGGTCGAGTCCTAATAATTCATAGTAGTCTGTTTTCTTAGGAGCGGCGCCGGCGTCGTTTCCCGCGGGGTCTCTGTGGGACGACTGTTGGGCTCCCATAATAAAAAGACTAGAAATATAGCCGGGTTTCTATATCTATGTCTATGGTAGTTTGCGTCAGATTAGTGTTATATACATATGAAGCCGGTATTGTAGTTGGTATTTGGACTATTCACTTATACCGAAATGGTGTAAAAAGACGTAAGTATTAAATTGATATTCTATTAAATTTCGTCGCGACTCCCACTATCTTACATAAAGTGGGGTGGACCCCGACCGAATTACCGTTGCCCCGCGCATTTCATTCCCCGGACACCGAACAGTATGTATACTCCTCTCCGATATCGATTTGGGCAACAGGTAATACAGGCCATATCAATTGAGCATATACCAAATGGATGTCTTTTGATAATAGCTATCTGTTTGCTCAAAACGAATACGAGATATCTCTAATTCCTTCCATAGTAGAGGTTATGCAGCATAGTCTAAATTCTTGACCGATTAGACATCTCGAGATTTTGATAGGTACTATGTACATACTTAAGTGGATCTATTCTCTTCACCGCGGAGGATTGAAAATCCAGAACAGGCCAGACTCAAATAAATTTAGAGAGGCAACCAGTCGCGTGTCTACGCAGGGGCAAACTGCCTAGATCTGCTAAGGCTGCAGATACGTTGCAGATACTTTGCACTCTTAGACGAATCACGCAACCTTAATATCCTACGTACCTACTATTAAACTCGTCACCTGCAGCTCTAAGGTGGTTTTAAGATGTGTACCTGCCAGAAGGTACCATCAATTACATAGATACATCAATGTAGGTACCATTATGCAACGGTTGAGTGAGTGCATGCATCATTCTATTAGTGCACCTATTTTATACCCATCTATGTTTCCTTAAATACTAATCCTATTAGCATTTTGCTCACCGGTTCTTGTGCCCCATATCCTCCACATATCCACCAGATACCTAACCACCATAACTTCCTAAGAGGCTAAGCCGTTCAATCTTTCAAATTAGCTAGTTCGTTAATGAATACGCACCGAGTTTCCTCGACCGGTCCCTAAGTAAACCCTCTTATATATATCGCACTCAGCAGTTCTCATGAAGTTCGCCCAAGAGTTCAGGAAGGCCCTCCAAAAAGAAGGCAAGTTACTGTCTTTCCACCCCTCTTATACCCTATTGTTAATGATTATTGTTAATGATGTTAGGCTTTCCCGAGAAATGGGTCAACTCTGCCGTTCCTTACGGCCAGCTCAAAAAATGTCTCAAAAAGGTTACCAATGAACTTAGGGAGCTCGGACTAGATAAGGACACTTTGGCTCAATTAGCTACCAGCCAGAAGGATCCATCCGCAGTGGCCTTTCACTACCACCTGGATGGGAAACTTACCCATTCCAACCATTTTCGTCCGAGGCTCACTTTTTTCATCCATCTCCATGATGGCGTGGCCGTAGACGCAAAATTGACGCCGTCTACGAGAGACTTTTTGAAGAAAGTGGTATCTAAGACAGGAGAAATATCGGTCTCGCCAGCACACGAATCCAGCAACGCATCTCCAGATACTTCAGTTAAATCCACAGATTCTCCTCCTAATGTCGAGGAGGTCTCATTGTCAAAAGAGGAGCCGTTGTCCGTTAAACAGATTGAAGTGCCCTTGGTCTTTGACGGTGAATTCTTTGAAATCCTACAGACCGACGTCTCGAACCTAGACGTGCTACAACAGGAAGAACAAGATAAATTAGGAAAAGAGATAGCTCTCCTAGGTCAGGATATTAACAAAGCCACGAAACCATCGAAAGGCCGAAGGGCAAGGGGGGACTTGGAAACCTGGCGCAATATCTTCGAGCTGTACTTGGACGCCCGGATCTTCTTTTCTACCAGGGAGGACGATCATGGCGCCAGAACAAGCACCCAGGCGGTCGAGCAACTTCGGTGGTTCCAAGATCAAGTCTTGTCGAAAAAGTTAATTCATGGCCTCAAGCTTGAGAATAGTCGGCAAGCTTATACGAGGTTTCTCAATATGAACGCTCTGCTCCTGCAAATTCTTAAATTCCAGGAGATTAACAGTTTAGCAGTAACGAAGATACTCAAGAGTAAGTTACATGTTTCTAACGCATTTACCCATACCCGTCTCCCACCCCCCGCTAATTATTTGCGCAGAATTCGATAAGAGAACCGCGCTGGGCGTTTCACGTGCATTCCCTGTCACTGTTCAATCCAATAGGCTTCTAGCAGGGAGTGTGGCTAAGGACATATGTGCACAAATGTCCAACGATTTAATTTCGGTCGTCCCGCAGCTTGATGACTATCTCTGCCCCATCTGCTTTGCCATTGCGTATTGGCCAGTTCGGCTGGATTGTCAGCATATATTCTGCAGTCGGTGTCTCGTGAAGATGTCACGAAAGGGGGAAAGATTTTGTCCCCTTTGCAGAGCTGACGTGATCATGCGAGCTGGATTAGAACATTTTGATAGCGAGCGTGCCGCATTTCTTCGCGAGTACTTTCCGAAGGAAGTCAAAGAAAAAGTTAGAGCCAACGAGCGCGAACGCAACAAGGAAATATTCGGACCTGACTATTCGGATTCGACTTGTTCTATGATGTGAAGTTGGCATTGGTTCTGCATTTGTTTACGGGGAAATTCATAACTTCTACATACGAATGCATTAGCCGGGATGCAGCTCAACCCCCCCGATATCTGCTCACGTATTTCTCAGTTGCCACGTTTCGGAACAGACGTGGAAACTATAATCACTAATATCGAGCTTATGATCCATGGATTCATATAACGATTGATCTCAGCTCGACATCGGGTGGGTCCCATACGATGTCTTTGAAACTCGTCCGCTGTCTCGCTGGAATCTTAAGCTCAGAGCCGTTGGCGCCTCCTGGCAGTCTAGTGTGTTCTTTATTACTGATTAAAAGCATGCCCCGCAGGGACTGGCCTTCGATTATGTCTCTGTATCCCGCTTCTCCCTCGACGCCGATAGCTCTTTTGGCAAGCCAGCTTACACAACCATAGAGTATCATCGCATCACTTATAGTTCCGGCTTGGTAGACGCCTACTCCCCATGATGCCAGCTGTAAGGGATCGCCAGTTCCAAAAGGAGTAAAGGCGTTCCCAACATTATTCACGCTGATACAGGCAGACATGCCGAGGTCCTTAATCATGGAAGGCACTTGTAAAGTACCACGCAGCCGCGCTTGCGGCGTGTTCGTTGCTGAAGTCGACCGACCCATCATGAACATGTCGCTAGTAGGCAATCCAACAAAGTAGATTGGAAGCCTGCTTTGAATGATGGTTCCGGCTAACTGCTCGAGGTCCAAGTTGCTGAGCGTAGTCAGTTGCGTGCAGTGCCCGAGAACCACGGTTTTGGACTTATCAGCTAAACCAAGCCAGTCTTGTTTCTGGAGCAGTTCAATAACTGAAAATGTTAGGGGCTGGTTGGAGGGGGAAGGTTGAAACAAATTATAGTCCAAGTGGAAGTCCAAGTGTAAACCATATCGAACGGCAGTTTCAATAGCCCAGTCAATGTTTTGGAGCGATTTCTCTCGCGACTCCTCGACATAGGGGGTTGTTCCAAGGGCTTGGACCGACCTGGCATGATCTTTGAGGAGCGAAGCAATGACGGATCGATTTGCCTCACCATACGTGCCAGAGAAAAGGGGGTCTTGGGCAAACACACATATTTGAATCTCTAGCAGATGAGAAAACTCAGACTTGAGTTGAATAGCTGTGGTCAGTGGCAACACCCCGGTGACGTGGTCTGCCTCTACAAAAGCGCGGAGAGATGTCACGCCGTGCTTGTAGCTTTCTGCTAAAAGCTGACTACCTCGAAGGTAGAGATCCTCCTTGGAATAACGCTCTTTCGCTTTAGAGGTATTTGATAAGGCCTCGTCAAAGGAGCCAGTTTCGGGCAGAAGATCAGAGTAGTCGGGATAATTCTCGGAGGGGTTGTTGTTGTTGTTGTTGTTGTTGTTGTTGCAGGTTAATACGAAAGGCTTGTCAAGGTGGATATGTGGGTGACAGAGGGCTGGCAGTAGGACCTTGGGAGGTTCGCTAGCTACATGTTCTGAAGGACGGACCCGACGAACCTTTCCATCTTCGATATCGATGTCCAGCCGGTTCGTGTCTACGGCCGAGTGCTCACTTAGCAAAATCACGTTATTCAACTTCATCTTACTCCAAACGGTTTCTTGCCTCTTTAAGGTATGTTTGTTATACTTAAATATGACGAACCGGATGAGAGATTAGCTGTGGGAGATAGCGCGGTGGACGCTTTTTGTGACGACGTAAGATAGAATATAGGTATATAACAGTATTAAATTTGGGGGAAAATATAATGGTGTATAGGAGAGTATAAGATGCAGAGTGATGTAATACGTGGTGTAAGTATATAATGGGGTACGTCGCCGCGAGGTACCAGTATCGACTACATTACACTACAGTCTACCTAATGTACATAGACGTATGTATAAAATTAGCCAATCAGGTATTCCTAAAAGATGTACCTAAAAGATGCAAGTTGGTTCAAAATTCTTGTCTCCGATCCCGGCATCCTGCCATATTTTCTACGTGCAGCAATTTAACATGAATTATCCTTGTATACTATACAGCTGCTTACAATCCCCGGTGTTAGTCCCCATAGTTGACCCATTCGCAAATACCCATCTTGATGTTGTCACGACTCACCACCGATAACCTAATAATTTATTAACTAGTCCTATCTACATCCTTTCTGCTATAGAATAATAATAATACCAACAAGGTAATACCAAAGAACATGCCTTTAATCGAGCTAGGAGATTCGATACCTCCTAACACTGCTCACGTGAGTTTAAACCTCTCTCTGGTTCCAAGAACATATTTCTAACTTTCTTTATAGGCCGTGAGCGTTTCACTTCCAACATGGAGGTCAAACATTGGGTACGAGGAGGGGGAGCAATGGGTCCTTGACGTTATGGTTACCGGCTACCCCAGGTTCTTCATCCATAAGAGCATCCAGGCCTTTGGTCGCGACATCGTCGCCAAGCATGGCATTGCTAGTCAGCAGGCCATTCTTTTTCCCACCAAAAAGACGGCAAACCGGTGTCTCGAGTTCATTCGAAACAAAGCGCCCGAATCGGTTTTGAAGGACCTCGACGTCCTCCACTTGGTCTTGGACCCGACTAAGAAGGCCCCGGCTGGACTGCCTGACAAGCCGTCCATCTCGGCCGTTCTGTGCACTTCTGATTCTTTCCCTTTTGCTAAACAGTACTGGCAGCACTCCGGCGACGGTGTTTCTAGCCGCCGTGCTGAATTCTACCATGCGTTGTTCAAAGAGAATATGCTGGTGCCCGAGGACAAGGCATCATCATCGCCCCGCCCGTTAAACAAGTTGGGTCGTGGGCCGAAAAGGTATCGACGAACAGCTTCCATTGACGATACTCAAAACGGGTCCAATGGGTCAAACAATGATCGCCAGTATCCCGTAACCCTTGACACTCCTGCCGACGAGACAACGACAGATGCTCTCGAAAGCTCAAGGTTCCTAGAAGAGCGATACGGGCGAAACCTCGACCTCTCCCTCGTGCCCAACGCCAAGTCAGCAATAAGGCGCCGCATCGCCGGCGTCCTAACCACGGACATCGACCTAGAAAGCACCGCCCTGCCCACTATGGACTCCAACGCCCGCGGCATCTCAAACTTCAAGGAGGACGACATATACCTGGTCCCCTGTGGCATGAACGCCATCTTCACAACGCACCAGACCCTGCTCAAGGCGCGCGAGCCCCAGAAGAGCATCAACTTCGGATTCCCGTACGTCGACACCCTCAAGATCTTGCAGAAGTTCGGGCCCGGAGCTATTTTCTACGGTCGCGGGTCTAGTGCCGATCTCGATGACCTCGAGAAGCGCCTTGAGGGGGGAGAGAAGTTTCTCGGGCTGTTTTGCGAATTTCCCGGAAACCCTTTGTTGACTTGCCCCGACCTCGCGCGCATCAGACGGCTGGCCGATACATACGACTTCGCAGTCGTCGTCGACGAAACCGTCGGCAACTTCGTGAACGTGAACGTTCTCCCCTTCGCCGATGTAGTCGTCTCCAGCCTAACGAAAATCTTCTCAGGCGACTGCAACGTCATGGGGGGGAGCATCATCCTTAACCCCAATAGCCGATACTACACCTCCTTGAAACAAGTCATGACCGCCGAGTTCGAGGACACGTACTGGGCCGAAGACGTGATCTTCATGGAGCGCAACAGCCGAGACTTCGTCTCGCGGATCGAGCGCGTCAACGCCAACGCCGAGGCTATCTGCACGGTCCTAGCCGCGCACCCCCTGGTCACCAACGTCTACTACCCCAAGTACAACGACTCGCGGCCCAACTACGAGGCCTGCAAACTACCATCCGGCGGGTACGGCGGCCTACTCTCGTGTACGCTGAAGACGAAGGCGCATGCGATGGCGTTTTATGACGCGCTGGAGACGGCTAAGGGGCCTAGCCTAGGCACGAATTTCACGCTTACATCGCCGTATGTGGTGCTTGCGCATTACCAGGAGTTGGACTGGGCGGCGAGTTTTGGGGTTAATCCGGATTTGCTGAGGGTTAGTGTGGGATTGGAGGAGGATTTGGTGGATATTTTCACTAGGGCTTTGAAGGCAGCGGAGGAGGTGCAGGAGGAGAGTGGATGAATAGGGAAAGGGAGATAGGGAAGAGGTAAATAGAGGAGGGAGATTTTGGGCGGATAGATAGATAGCGTGGGAAGAAAGTGGAAGAATGACTGGCTCCTCAACGACCGGGAAAGGAATAGATGAGATGAGAGATGAGACTATGGTTGGTATGGTATGATGAGATGGACAAACGGACTATCGTGGAGATAGATAGAGAGCGCGGTTATAGAGAAAAAGAAAAGAAAAGAAAAGTTGATATCCTGCCGCAGTTGCATACATCCTCGTAAGATAAGGGGGCGAAGAGTCGTTATAGCCAAAATTGCCCGTAAATCCCGCAGTCAGACCACACAATACAATACACCACCCAGTCAGGGGCATTGTGAGTAGTACTTTGTTTGGTATACCACCACTACACATTACACAGATGCTGTATTCAGTCCGAATAGTAAAATCAATATCAGTGTTATCAAACATAACAGCTTAGTTACCAATTGGACCATCTAGAGCCTAAACAGTCAACAGTAATAGCAAACACAACATCACAATTATCGGTTGAAACACCTCGTAGCACATATACACACACACACTCTCCCTCTTACATACATACCATCTCCGACTCACCTCCTTCCACAAAGACAACTCTTCACAAGGCACCGCACCGCACTTCGTTCATAGATAGTTTTCACTTTACTTTGTCCACATGCTGTATTAATGTACACCATTACACCGATGCTAGCCCTCCAGCCTGATAGTTTTTAGTCAATCCCTTCATCCTCCGTCTACATGCCCCCTCTCTCTTATACTCTTTCTCTCCTCTCTATATTTACACGCCGCTCCCCCTTAAAAGTGGATAGCCTTAGAGTAAGTCGCCATAGCCGCTTCTTTGAAAGCCTCGGCGAGCGTCGGGTGTGCGTGGCACGTGCGCGCGATATCCTCCGTCGACGCGCCGTACTCGAGGGCGAGGGTGGCCTCGGCGATCATCTCACCCGCGTTGGCTCCGATGATGTGGCAGCCTAGTAGCCTATCTGTCTCGGGGTCCGCAATCATCTTAACGAAACCTTCCGTGTCTAGGTTGGTCTTGGCACGCGAGTTGGCGCTGAAGGGGAATGTTCCGACCTTGTACGGGATGTTCTGCGACTTCAGGTCCTGCTCGCTCTGACCGACCCAAGCGACTTCGGGGTGCGTGTACATGACGGACGGGATAACGCCGTAGTTGACGTGCCCGTATCCCTTCTTGATGTACTCGACGGCGGCGACAGCTTCTTCTTCGGCCTTGTGGGCAAGCATAGGGCCGAATGTGCAGTCACCAATGCATCGGATGTGGGAGGCCTTTGTGCGGTACTCGGAGTCGATAACGACACGGCCGCGCTCATCGACCTCCAGGCCGATGTTCTCGAGGCCGAGTCCGGCGGTGTAGGGGCGACGACCAATGGCAACTAGGACAACATCCGCCTCGAGCTATTTTCAAAAGTCCAAGTTAATATGCTGCTCTGCGCATGTATGCACGGGAATACGAACCGATTCGGGCTTGCCACCCTTAGCAGAGTCCACCTGGAGCTTAACGTTGTCGCCAGTGTTTTCTCCGCTGACGACCTTAGTACCGAGCTTGAATTCTATACCCTGCTTCTTGAGCAGCTTTTGCGCCTCCTTGGCAACCTGGGTGTCCATGCCGGGGCCACCAATCTGGTCCAGGAATTCGACGACGGTAACCTTGGCACCCAGTCTCGACCATACGGAACCCATCTCAAGACCGATGATACCACCACCAATGACGATCAGCTTCTCGGGGACCTTCTCGAGGGACAGGGCGCCGGTGCTGGTGACAACGCGCTTCTCGTCGACCTCGAGTCCGGGGAACGGCGTCGATTCGGAACCGGTAGCGATAAGGATGTTCTTGCCGACCACGCTCGTCTCGCCGCCATCGATCAGCTGAACCTTGACCTCGTGCTCGCTAGCGAAGGAACCGGTGCCCTTGATGTACTCGACGCCGTTCTTCTTGAAGAGGAACTCGATACCCTTGGTAAGACCGGCGACGGAGGTGTCCTTGGCCTTCATCATAGCTTGTAGGTTAAGCTGGACATTGCCGACTTCAATACCCCGGGGCTTGCTGTCGTGGAGGATCTGGTGGTACAAATGCGAGTTGTTGAGGAGGGATTTCGAAGGAATACAGCCAACGTTGAGACAGGTGCCGCCGAGCCTGCCGCGCTTCTCAATGCAAGTGACCTAGCCACGGGGTGAATTGCTAGTTAGACTTTGCTCTTCGTGGGGTGGATAATGTGGAATAATGATCGCATTAAAGTTGGCATGGCGAACCTTTAAGCCCTCCTGTCCAGCCTTGATAGCTGCGACATATCCTGCCACTCCACCGCCGATGATGACGAGATCTTTTTCCTCTGCGCCGGGTTAATTAGCGATAAGAAAGGTCGGTAAGGGAAAATATTCTATTAAAGGAGTATTAACCTGCTTCGGTAGCATATCCTCTTCTCCATCGCGATAAGGGTGCGACGACTGAGGGAAGACTAATTCACAGAATTCGGATTAGCGGGCAAGTTATGTTGGGAAGCTCACTCAAAAAGCTCAAGCTCGGCTATTACTTACGAAGAATGGCGGAGAGCAGATCGCACAGCGGTCCGCGGTATTAAACGACTGGCCAGCATCGTGTTTATTTTTTCGGCTGGCTGCCCGTTCTACCTTGTCTGTCTACAACGAAGGGGGAAAAAAACAAAAGGCGGGTATATCGCAATTGGTGTGACGTGGTTGAGGTGAATAAATGTAGATGAGACTGACTGTAAAGATTTAGACGGAACCGGATGTTTTTGGAGTTGCTCGAAATTTTGGAGGTCCGGGCGTTGGGGATGGCCAAGTACCGGTATCAAAGTACCTCCTCGCCTCCTTCCGTACTATCGTATACTTACTGCATGGTACCGAGATAGAATAAGATGGTAAGACCCAATTAACTCATAGCCGTTGGTATACGGTAGTGGTACCTTAGCGGTTCATTTTCGCCGATATGCCGCTGCTCCGAAAGTAGCCGTCGACTTTTACTTCGCTAACCCGTCAGGCTAAAATCTCGATACGTATCTCTGCTTACACTACGAGAAATATACCCCTATTTAGAATCTATAATCCAAAGACGAGACAAGATAGAAACCATATAATAGCTATTTCCTTTGAGTAAAAAACAACGCGTGCATAATATTAAACGGGTATCTATTTAGTTTTGATGAAACCAGTGCGGAGAACTGATAATCCCCCTAATGGTCCCGCTGTTACCAGTGCCTTCAGTATCTCCTCTGCCGCATCGCAACTCTTCTTAATCGCTGCTTTTTCCTTCTTGTCCTTAAGGAGATCTGTTTTCCGCACGTTCTTCCGCAAGAACCACTGGACCCCTCGAGCGTGAACTGCATCCAGGCCGCTGAATACCTCCTTAAGGCCATCGCTCTTGCACTCCTGGAGCGTCGAGATCAGCATCACCTCAAAGAACATGTGTGCCTTCTCATGTAGAGCCGCAAAGTTGCGGTGCTTCACTATATCTGCCAGCCGAAGATCCCGGCTAGCCACGAGCGAGCCGTACATCTTGGCCGTGTTGTATACCCACCGCATGTCGTAGTCGGTCGCATCGTCGAAATCGAAGTCATCTTCCTCGCCAATGTCAATGTCCTCTCCCATCTTTCTGAGACGTGTTGTGAGACATCGCCTAAACTGAAAAGATAACTCCCGATCGCCGGTGAACCTGGTAGCGACTAGAGCATAATAGGGGTTGTACTGCGACTGCCGCTCGCTGCTTCGAACGATCACTTCGGGTATCTCTCTCCGTTGATGCTTGTTAAGCCTCAACTTACGGACAAGCAGCTCTGCGTTCTCATAGTCCGTGGCCGCATGCAAAGCAACAAATATTCGTTGCCGTACTTCCGTATTGAACCCCTGGTCCTTTGCTAATTGCCAGAGATCCGGAATACCCAGGTCGTCACCAACGTCCGCCATCATCTCATCAGCGTCATCCCCTTCTTGGTACTTCAAAGTCTTGCCTTGATCATTGGGGTCACTACGGTTACCAGACCAACTGGCCCCGACAAGCCACCACTTCCCGTGCTTATCGGCGTCCCGGATGTCCTGGAGGCCCATGCGGAGGGGCTGAGCATCCTGGGTGCCAGCTATACCACCGATTCGCTTCCTGATCTGAGTTCGCTGGTCCGCAAGGTCTTTGTTGCGGGTTGCAGCTTTTGTTTTGTTACTCTGTAGTCTCTTCATCTCGTCAATCATGAAGCTCGTCCTAGTTGACATGGTGTTCCCTAGCCTAATACTACTAACGATGTCCCCCAATGCATGAGGGTCATCACGCCTGAGAGACGGGCCGCAAATTTGGATAATTCTCAAAATCAACTCCGTATTGAGCTCGGAAAGTTGGCCTAAGAAGAGGCGGACATAATCGAATACCAAATTAGGACTGACGACTTGCATATTGTAGATCTCAGCAAGTAAGGAAATAAGATGCCTTGAACCGGAGTCTGACTGGTCTCCAGATGCTTGCGTATAGCGCTGGTCGAGGACTTCTACAAGTTGTTGTATGAAGTAGGCGCTAAAGGCCATGCCCAGAGATTTATGCATTGCTGCAAGGTAACCAGCTGTCATAGCGAAAAAAGAATCTGGGCGCTTTTCAGGTGAGCAGACTAAGTTCAGGACTAAATCCACGATGGCAGATGTAACAGTTTGTCTCGGATTTGTATCGTATAAAGTCATGAACTCCTTGACTATGCCGACCATATTGTCGTTCGTCAAGCGATTGATCAAACCCTGGACACGTCTTCGAAGTCGTGTTTCTGCTTCGTTGCTCGAACTTGACTGCTTACGGAAAGCCGGGGGGACGTATTTTGCAACTCCCGTTGTAGGAGCGACGTAGGGGTTTTCTCGTAGAGGCCTCACAGTTGTAGACTGTTCTCCGTCTGAGAAGCCTTCAAACGCATCTTCGTCTTCCTCTGATTTACTGTCCCAAAGGGACATATCTTCGTCGTCCAAATCGTCGCCAACTTCTTCGTCGCTGTCGCTAGCACTTTCATTAGCAGTCGCTTTATCGGCGGCAGCTTGAGCTTTTCTCCTTTTCTGGGCCAGCCATTCGTCCGCTTCTGCCTTGCGTTTATTCTGCGAGGTAACTCCTTCATTATCCCCGCCATCTTCATCCAGACCGTCCAGTAAATCGCCGAGACCGTCGTCCTGGAAAGATTTGGGAAGTGACTTCCTGCCCTTCAAGCCTAATTTCCTTTCCAAGTCTTTGATCTCTGCATCGTCCTGGGCAAGCCTGCTCTGTGTAGCCTTAGAGACTTTTGGTTGACTCGGCTCTTCATCTTCATTACCTTCACTATCGCTGCCCTCGGAGTCATCCTCCATATCCATATCACCTCCATCGTCGTCATCATCATCATCCCCATCCTCTAGACCATCACTTTCATCATCAAAGTCATTAGATTGAGGAGCCTTGTGAGGCTTGCGCGTTTCCTGGCTTTGATGTGGCTGCGGACGACGAGATTGCCTTTTCTGAACTCGTTGGGCCTTGCGTTGATCTTTTCTCGAAAGCTGCTTTCCTGACCTTCCTCCGCCTTTAGCAGAAGACGAGGACTGCTGAGCGTCTAACTCTTTTAGAAGTGTTGCAGGCAACGATAGTTTTTTCTTTGGTCCTGGCGCCATTTTGGCGGTGATTCTCTATATTTAGGAGCCTGGCAGTTGTAAAAGAGTTGAGTCAAAAAGTGTTCGTAACTAAATTATTAGCCTTGCTTTTTGAAAGTTAACAATGTAATAACTAAACTTTTTTACAGTAATATTCACATGAGGTAGGCATTGATACAAATGCGATGCACCTTCTCAAGAAAAAAATCCAAGTACATACAGGGGTTGTAAAGGCAAGTGGGGCCGTAAAAGTACAGAAGGCGCTATGCACATGTACTTGTACGAGTGTACATCAAGTACCTCTTCGACAACCTTAACAGTCTGCCCCACCACGGGGAATCCCACCTAACGGCGATTTGGTCATGCACGAACTTCAATCATTTTATTCTAACCACCACATAGCATATCAATGTACACTACAAACAACTGTCAACGGATGCGAGGTTGAGTTGGCAGTATTATTCTGGAATACCTCCGACCTTGGATAATAATCGCATGCGATTATCTATAAATCATAATGGGTCACTTAAGCAATGACGAGGTTCGCACCCATTGATATTATACGCCCGAGTCTACGCCTGTACTAACTCGTTTTCGCAGTTCTTCGTCAAGCTCACCGAGCTCTTCGACCAAAAGAAAGGCAAAGACCACGGCTCCATAGTTTTGGTGCAGAAGAGATGTTAGTCCCAGCAGTCTCGAGACGAGGCAACATAGAGCCGGCAGCTCTTCTAACTCGCCCATCTAGTAACTCACGAGCAGCCCGCCCTAGAGCCAACAAGCGAAACCATACTCCCCGACCTCCACCCCCCACAGCCCATGCCCGTGCTTATCCGGGCGACAAACGCGAAAGGCAAGAAACGACGTGAGGACAAGATCAAGTTATCAACTGTGGTCGAGCCCGACGCTCTCCCCACTTTCTTCGATAGGTACGCCGAGATATGCAAAGCCGGCATGGCAACGTTGAAGCCGAGAGATCGTAGTAAGAGGAAGGGCAAGGCCAAGAAGAGGAAGGGTGCTGCTGCACCTGCTGGTTCTTGATCTCTTGCTTGGAGGAGCTGCATGGTTATCATTACCGCCTTCCTTCCCGTCCTAGAGACTGGCCTATCATCTCGTCCACGCGCCAACATTATCTCGTGCGTCCCTAGGTTTCTGAAAACCCGACATCACATTTTGGGACGAGCCTATGCATTCAGAATAGGCGCCTCTGTAATCGCCATTATTGTATATCGAGACGTATCTACCCGTCCTGCGAGAGACCGGGATCCATAGCCATCTATTAAGCTTGGGTAGCTATGAGCTTCTAGGGTATGGGTAACTTGCTCAGGCGCGAGCACCACCGCCAGTTAGTTATATTCGGCTGAGAACCTGAGATACCCTAATAAATGATACAGAATTCTTACAATATTCTCATTCGCTCACCTTGCTGCTAGGTGAATTATATCATGTTCTTGAAGTTTAGGATGATGCCCATTTAGCAGCCAGCTGCTTGTCTTCATAATCTTACCGTAGGAAATATCTTTGCCCTTGTGCCCCTAGTTCGTCCAACGAGCCCCTCTTCCTACCCCTTTCCTAGAGTGAGCCTCCTTTCTGACACTTAAGCCTCGTGTATTCTACGACCCATACCACTTTTTATCTTTATATTACCTATATAAATAGCATGACCAAAGGAAGCCCATGCTCTAAGCCCACTTTCGAGCTTTCCGACAATAGAAATCATTTCAATTTGAATCACCTAAGTATAATAATTATAATAAATAGGAACATACACTAGATCTCATACATAGTCTAGATGCTAACATTAGTAAGTTGTGAACGAGGTTTAATTTCAACAGATTATAGTTTCAATACCAAGATCACAAAAATAACAATGTATAAAACTCTCAACAGATTACCGAAGAGTATTTCAGAAATATCATGCGAAATTTTGGTCCTTGTTCCTGTTGTATACAACACGGGCTATGCTGTAGCCTTGTCTCAAATGTAGACTTTTTACCCCAAACCGAAGCAATGCACCCCAGACTTTTGGCCATCTCCTTTTTGTTGATGCTGCCGTTTTTTGGATACGTTCTATGATAGAAGTCACTCTTCTCTAGCTTGTCTTCTCTACCGGTACTGTTCAGCTGCCATTCGCCGCGGTTTGTAGATTCAGATGGAAGCTACGGATAATTGAGTCTGCATCATCGATGGCTATCGGTCGCACATCAGCCAACGTCTTGATCTTGGCAGTACTAGAAACATTTTGTTAGCCATCTTCTCTGCGAGTTCAGGTTTGAGGCTGGTACATACCATTCCTTGACCTGGTCGTCCGTCATAGTTAGACCGAGTTGTGTTACTCGGGTCTTGACGGCGTTCCATCCCGTTAACCGGGAGGCGAAGTGCACATAGCGCGTCAAGCCGAAATCTTCGGGATTTAAAATCTCGTATGTGGAGGGGTTGTTTAGGATAGCTTTGGCACTATAACATTCGGCGTTAGTAATTACATTTCAATGTTTCCAGGGGCTTATTGTAATATATTAAAATTGACTTACTGGATACCGGCCTTGTGGGTAAAGGCACAGAAACCAGTGATAGGGTTGTTGAAGGGGGTGTTGATCTCTACTGCCTCAGCAACCATATCCTCAATCTAAAATATATTAGTTTATGCCAAATTCTCAGCAACAGATATATAGAACTCACCTCCTTGATCATATTGAGCTTGTACTTGCTCTTGACGTAGTCGGGGCTAGTGACCACCATGCGTGCTAAGAAACCACCAAGGGGGGTGATGCCATTACGCTCACCAACTGTAACATGTTAGTATGTTGTTCTCTACCCAGAAAGTAGAAAGTACTCACTTCCGAGCACACTGGTGTCAACGTGTGTTGCACCGGCCTCAAGAGCACAGAAACTATACTCAAATTAGTTCTCTAGAGCACAATTTTGTCTTCAAATAAGCACTTACGCGTTGGCAATAGCACAGCCTGTGTCATTGTGGAAATGAGTCTCAATATCGCAAGCTTACAAGTAGGTTAGTAAACGTAGTTAGAGGAGGTAATGTTCCAACTTACAAACTACACCTCTTAATGTTCGGACGAGCTATATTTCAAGTTAGTAAAACAAATGGCAATAGCGTGAACGAATCACATACCTCGTAGACCTGTCGTGGACTGGCGCAGCCAACGGTATCAGCGATACCGACACGGTTAACACCAATCTTGTCCACGGCGTTGTAGAGGGATAGCAGATCTACTAGATCGGATCGGAAAGAGTCCTCGCTCGAAACTATGCTATGTTAGCGGCGTCTCCTTTCGAGGAGAGCTTCAACATACATCGAACCTCGATGCCCTTGTCCTTGACGTATTGCACAACTTCCAAAGCAGCCTTGGTGATGAAGGCCATGTCCTTGCCATGGCTGTGTTCCCGAAGGAAATGCGATGTACCGATGACGATATCCAGGCCGTCTACACCAGTGTCGATAGCCATCTGCACATCTCGCATATCGCAACGAACGTCTATGAGTCACAGTTAGTAGGTAAGGGAGGACATGGCCCATCCGATTATGACTCACGAGTCAGGATTTTGGCCTCGAGAAAACGTTAGTTGAACAATTCACAATATAGAGGTATTAGAGATCGCACCTTGAGTCCGAGCTTGCAGATCTCAATGCAGTCCAAGCGCGATTGCTCAGAAGCAGCCGGGGATGTGAGTTCGATATAGTCGACTCCGAAGGCATCGAGAGCTACGAGGTTTATGTTTTAGCGACGAGATATGAGAGGACATAATGCAACCGATTCGACATACCCTTAGCACTAGAAAACCCATATTAGCAAAGTACAGCAAAACAGGACTCAATAATGACATACATGTTGATCTTAGTTTGCGTGTCGAAGTAGGCATTGGCGAATTGTTCACCCTCTAATCCGGCTGTTAGTAAGAGTAGGAATAAATCCAAGGCAAATAAAAAGGCTGACCTCGAAGAGTTGACTCAATGATCTTGAATTTGCCTACATTGGACAAAAACTCGCCCGGGTTGGATTGGTAGGGATTCGACCGGCGTACAGGTGTTGTGCCATTGGTACCGTTAGTGCCGTTGGTGCCCTAGAAATTTTCAAATGTTAACTTGAGTATATGGAAATCAAGACCGGACGACATACATTACTGGCCGCAGAACCATTTGTTTCGCACATCTTTTCTCTGGTAAGTAAGGCAGGAAAAACAGAGTTGGGAAAAAAAGTGTGCTGCCTCTTAGGAATTTGTAACGAAGAAGAAATTTCTACTTCAGCATGCAATGAATCACATTTGGTATGTAACCGTACCCCACGTACGCCGATCGCGGTTCCCCAGTTCAGGGTCGTACTGAGTTACCAAACAACTTGCCCAGCAGGCCAAAATCGACAATGTCCGCGGGGCTATCACGTGATAATCACCATCTAGATCCTTGCAAAAGTTGTTTAGCCTAGTGGGCGGTGACGTATCGAAAATTGAAATTGGCCAATCGCGAATACCATTTTAGGGACCCGTCTCTCAGGTCCCGCCTTGCCTGCAGTTAACGCATACACAAAACAACCCCACTATCCCATTTTGCATATGCGAATACCCGATCTGCCGGCCAACTTATAGAAATCGAGGTCCATTTCTCTTAGTCTCTTCGAGAGTAGATGAAATTTCCTGATTGAGATGGTATATATAGCGGAGCGAACGGGATCCCGACTTTTCTAGACCACGCGATCATCAGAACTGAAATCCGAAATTTAATCAACTTGTCAAGTCCCATTATTATGCCGAAGATCCCGTACAATACGTCCACTTACATCGTCTTTAGGGGCAAAAATTTAGTGTCTTCTGAGTTCGTATACGGTATCGGGAGAGCCTCATTATTACACTCATGTTCGTGAACCACCAATGAGTCATCTAAGCTTGAGTAGAACAAGTTGTAAGTCCGGGTGTTTGACTGGGTACCTAGGCAGTTACTTGCTACGATAACACAACTATTTTATCCGACCCACGTTATTAATACTTCATAGACTAATACCTCAAGGTCATATAATTGAAGTCGCACCGTCATGAGGTTAAGGGCATCCGACTTAATATACCATGGTAAATAATGTTGGGTTTTGGCTAACAATAGCAACGAAAGGGAAACACGCTGGGGATTCATATCCGAATATAATCACTATGACTTGTAAGAACTGAGACGTTTCAAGTTTCTATATCCTTCATAAATTGACTTGAATTAATTTGCATAGAAATAGTCTAATTTAGCTTCATTACCTTCATTGCGTACTAGGTAAACTAGGTATATAAGTTTATAGCCACTGGCTTTCATAGTCTGGGCTCAGAGACCTTTGGGGAATAACGAAGTTGTTTCCATGCCTTCTAGGTCTGCCTCATACTACATCTTCGATATCTGCTGTCCTACCAGCATGTGGCTTGTGGATGCTAATGGAACATCGAATACCGTCAGCTTCTAGCTTGCCAATATCGTCCGGACAACATCGAGTCCATCCATTGAAATTTGAGTTTACGGGATCTATTAGACTAGTTGTGCTCTGGGTCAATCCTCTTGAAATGCTACGTGTAACTAGCTCGTCCTCGAGAACGCTTAACCCTTATATACTTAAGAAGGATTCATTCTGTGATGTTAAAGGCCAAGCTTGGTACAGCTTAGAGTGTTATTATGAATAACTACGTCTTATAACGTATAAATCGGCGCAGATAAGCCAATGGTATAGGTATTCGTACCTCTAACGTCGTTCTATACTGGGTAGGCTCTCTTCACTTGAAATCGGCTACTATCTACGTGGATACGTATTAATTAGCTCATTTGTGTCATCTTCGTAGTTGTAGGCTGAATGACATAAACGATGAAACGGAGTATCAATGCCGAATAAGTCTCTTGGAAGATGGGCCAGAGCATTGAAGACTCATAGGATACCTGAAATAGTATAAAGTAAAACCAGTAGTCAATAGAGTGGTAGTTGTAGTCAACGACGTACTTATTGGGATTTGTATAACCTATCCGTCGACCTCGGAGTTATCACTATCGGATTCGGCTTACAAGGAACGTCATTATAGAATACGCCTAGCTCGGCGCTTAAATGGAAGGCAGGGAAGAGCTATAGGATTTATAGAGTAATAGGTTAAAGCACCGAGGAAGCAGTTAAATGGTATTTCATAAATGCCAAGATGGAAAAGCTACAATATACCAAAACCGTCTACCATCGTACGATAATAGTATGATCGATCGGGAATATGACTGCATACCCCAGATCTGAAAGCTGCATCATGCCAGATATGAGAGCTACCTCTCGATCGGGTTCAATAAAAGATTGACGAGGATGTCGATGTGGAAGGGTTCTAGAACCCATGTGAAATTTTCCCGTGACAGTTTGTTTTCATAGCTGTAACGAGGTCAGGGTTGTCTGGCGCCTCTACTTGGGTAACAAACACCCCCAAGGGACGGGAATCCTTCTTAGAAACGTGCTTAGGTCTCATGACGAGATGCCTATCACGTAACTATACTTATAATTAGCTGAAGAAAAGGTATTGTGTAAATGTAGACCTGGGTAGTTTCAGGGTCGGATGGTGTGTGACATTAGCAAGCGGGTAGCAATTATACAGAAGCAAACTGATGGTCGAATGCTACTGTGAGACGCGATATATTCTACGTGAAAGCAACATAGCAGCCTTCACTTGAGCTAAGGACTTCGGGAAATACTCAAAATTTTGGCATTGTTTCCACTGCTG